CTTTATTGACAATAACATTTTAATTAGAAAAATAAAATGGATCAAGGGCATATCTACATGGTCTTTTGGCAACTGCAAACAATGTTTTATATTAGCTAGGCCTAAGGAAAGACTCAGAATAGAGGATATTTTCAGCACTGAGTTTTTTTCCATCTTCATACTGCTAAACATACAATTATGGATAAAAAAAAATTAATAATGCATGACAGCATGCTTATGAATTAATATGAAAACCTTTTTTACCTACCCCTTGTCATTAATAAGTTGTGATTTTTGCCATACAAAGTTCTCATATTTCTACGCATACCACAAGTATGTAGTCTGATAGAAAAATGGGCAGACAACTCTACAGTATATGGACAGACATATATAATATAGTGATTAATACATATTCAATATTCTATGTATTCCAAATGTCTGAAGCAAAATCACAGAAACATCTTCTTCCAGAAAATAATGGAACTTTATGGCTTAAAATCTGATGCGATGTACAAATAAATCATTGTACCAACAAGAGAAATACCTTTATTGATGACAGAATCTAAAAATGTCAAGTTAACATATTCATATAGCATATAACAAGTTCAAAAATCTTGAAAAGAACAACTAAAAATCACTACAGTTTTTTTTTTAAAGATTATCTCTGGAGAAAACTCTTAAGTTAGACATATTTCATAAAATCAAATCTTAATCAGTCAAAACTTTATTTTGCTTGATAGATCAGCGTGAAAATACCATGAGTACAAATATAAATAACAAACCAGAAGTCTCTGTCGAGACTGAAGCTCTACTGGTTTGTACTTATAATAAAGAAAGAGAAAAGTAGCAGTTGGGATATAAAACTTTACAAAAGCAATAAATAGAATAATGACAAATAACGATACACAGAATTATGTATTTAGTGTAGTCTAGTTGTGTGCCAAGTTATATTGAAATAAGACAAAACTGTATGATCTGTAGCATTTTAACAACATTTCAAAGAAATTTCTTTTTTTAAGTAACAAAAACACCGTCATTGAAACAACCTATATAAAGAATTATGTATCTTAGTGTGCACATGTGCCAAGTTATATTGAAATCGTCAAAACTGACCATATCATTTTGTGTTTTTCACAAAAATTTATACTTTTAATACACAATATTAAAGTATTTAATCCAAAATTATTAAAAAAATACGCTCATTCAAGTGTATGTCTACTTGTGTGCCAAGTTATACGTGCAATCACGTGCATACATGAGCATGGTGACCATACCATTTTGAATGATTTTCACAAAAAATCTATTTTTATGTAATAACCAACACCGTTCATCGAAATCAAAAACCGATATATAAAGTTATAGCTGTGTGTAGTCTAGTTGTATGCCAATATATTGAAATCACATTAAAATTGTAGGAGGAGTAGCATTTTGAATGATTTTCACAAATTTTTCCTATTTTTAGTAACAACGACAACACCGTTCATCAAAATCAAAAACTGATATACAGAATTATGTATCTTTGTGTAGTCTACTTGTATGCCAAGTTATATTGAAATCAGATTAAAAACTGTAGGAGGATAGCATTTTGAAGATTTTCACAAATTCTTCTATTTTTAGTAACAACGGCACGTGCATGCACGCGATACACAGAATAATGTATCTTAGTGTAGTCTACTTGTGCTAAGTTACATTGAAATCAGACTAAAACTGTAGGAGGAGTAGCATTTTGAATGATTTTCACAAATTTTTCTCTTTTTAGTAACAACGGCAACACCGTTCATCGAAATCAAAAAGCGATACACAGAATTATGTACCTTAGTGTAGTATACTTGTGTGCCAAGTTATATTGAAATCAGACCAAAACTGTAGGAGGAGTAGCATTTTGAATGATTTTCACAAAAAATTCTATTTTTAGTAACAACGGCATGTCCGTTCATCGAAATCAAAAAGTGATACACAATATATGTACCTTACAGTTATTGTGTGCCAAGTTATTTGAAATCTAAAAACTGTAGAGGAGTAGCATTTGTGGCTATTTTCACAAAAAATTCTATTTTTAGGTCATTTCACGTGTTGCAAAAGCGATACACAGAATTATGTATCTTAGTGTAGTGTACTTGTGTGCCAAGTTATATTGAAATCTGACCAAAACTGTAGGAGGAGTAGCATTTTGAATGATTTTCACAAAAAATTCTATTTTTATAACAACGGCATGTTCATCGAACCCTACACAGAATTATGTTTTACCTAGTGTAGTCTACTTGTGTGCCAAGTTATATTGAAATCAGACCAAAACTGTAGGAGGAGTAGCATTTTGAAAAATTGTTTACAGACGGACAGAAGAAGAAGAAGAAGAAGAAAAATAATAATAATAAGAAACAATAAAAAGCAAATTATTTAAAGTTTGACAGATAATCTCAAGACAAATAATGTTTAACGACTGACACAAACATTGAAGTATTTTAGTATAACACTTCACTCCCATAAAGTAAATAATTAATTTGTACAGAGTATTAAAAAAATTGTTTGGACCCTTTTTACTTACCATTTATATTTGTCTATACCTTAACTATCTTCTGGTGCTAACTGCAAAGACAAGCTCCCATCACTATTCCTCACAGCATAAATCACCCCACCTGTGTTCTGAGCTGAGATAAGTTCATTAGGTAAAGAGTTCAGGTAAATCACCTGTTCCCCGGCACTGTCCAAACACACCTCATCTGTTGTCTCTTCTACCTCAAACTCCTTGACAGCCTCCAGAATTTCAGCCTGTGACTCGGCCTCTGTTGTGAAGTCCCTCACTGCTGGGGTTGCTGAAGAGCCCTGCTCCTCCACTTTTGTGACATCTGAGCTAGCGTCTGCCAGAAGCTGCAGTAGTTTTTCCTGTGCTTCAGAATGTTGTAATTCATAAGTACTTTCTGTCTGGTACTCCTCAACTTGTTCTACATGTTCTTCAAGTTCTTCAAGTTCTTCGTGTTTCAAGACTGTTACCTTTTGCAAGTCTGGTATAGAGTCCTTAGTTTGAACCTGCTCATTCTGATAGGGTTTAGGTTTTCGAATAGCCAAGACTCTTTTCCTGGGTTTTGCACGAGGAAAATATCCGTCTTGCATCTTCATTGCCGAGAGACCTCCAGTTATCAGCTTGTTGTGAACATTCATCATATGCCTTTTCAGACTTCCGTACCTTTTGAAAGTGGCTTGACAAATGTCACATTGGATAGCTTTTTCGTTGGAGTGGATCAGCATGTGGTTGTTCATGTCCGTCCTACAAGGGAAGTAACGCTGGCAAATTTCACAATACTGAAGCCTTCCATACGTTTTGGCCTTGTCAACATCACCTGCTGCCAGGGCATGGGATTGTGAGTGGGACTGCCAAACTTGATAGATTTTAAAAGTCTTGCCACATCCCTCCCACTCACACTCATAGGGGCGATCATCAGAGTGCCTCACCTTCATGTGGTGTCGTAAGCTGCCCATCTGCCTTGTTCGATGCCCACAAATTTCACAGACACATGGTTTTTCTTCTGAGTGCATAAACTTCTGATGCAATTTCAAGCTATCCTTGGAAGACAAAAACTTCTCACATATTTTACACTGTAATTCTGGATCATTCTCTTTTTTCTGGTGTGTTTTGAGATGGAGCCTCATATTGTCTTCCCTTCTAAACTTCCTGCCACAAACATCGCAAATGAATTTCTTGTTGGCTTCATGAACCTCTAGCTTGTGCTTGTTTACATCAAAGTTGGTGGGAAAGCGTAAGCCGCACTCATTGCACATCACTGGCAGGCCCGGATTCATCAGGCTGTTGTTTATGCGCCTATGGTAACTACAATGGCTCTCATACTCTCTGATCCTTAGAAAACTTTTGTTGCAGCTTGAGCAGAAGAAGGGATAATCAGAATCGTGAATGGTCTTCATATGATTCATGAAAAAGTTGTTATTATCAAAACTTAGATCACAGTCTTTCATGGGACAAACTTTCCTCCACATTGGCTTGCATCTTTTTTCCTCAATATGCTGTACACAGTTTTCCTTTATGAAGTATTGTACCCTACAATTACTGCACTTGTAGATAGTTGGGCTCTTTTTCTTTTTAACTGTCACAAGCTCTCTTTTTCCATCTCTTGCATTTTCCTCCAAACCATCATGTCTTGTTTGTTTCATGTGCTTAATCAATGAAGCAATGCTCTCAAAATCCTCTTTACAAGTATAACACTTAAATTCAGAACCTGTAACAAAGTTTTCATGTTTTCTGTATGTTTTCTCATCAACTTTCATTGTCACTGCTAATAAATTGAAATCTATTTTTTTCTTATGCCTTATGACTTTTTTTCTCAGGACATCTATTCCAGCACTTTGCATCTCCTTTTCGCTCAGACTGTGTTCTTCCTCATCCATCTGGGCTGAAGTTGCGGTTTCATCCCCATGCATTGTCAACACATGCTTTTCTAAATTCCTTGTGTTAGTAAACTTTGCTTCACATTTCTGACAGTCAAACAAAATATTCTCCTCCCCTGATTCCACTGCATTAGACACTCCCCTTTTCTTTCTTCCTCGTTTGGATTTACTTGCGTTCAGATTTCCAGCAGTTACAGGTTGTTCTAAACCCAGAGATACCAGGATATCGGTTTCCTCCTCCAGAATTTTTGCCCATACATCTTTGTGCATTAATCGCAGATGATTCTCTATCAGACTCTGTGTGCTGAATTTTTCACCACACGTCTGGCAGACATGCTGACCCTTTTTCTTCTTATTAGGTGTTTCCTCCATTCCTCCAGATTGTTCCAGGTCAGTGCTCTCTTCAGTATCTGCCACCATTTCATCCTCTCTCTCTGTAGTATCAGGTTCTGCCATTTCTGGGTTTACTTCCTTCGGACTTGGAGATCTATGGGGAGATTGTTTGACGAGGGACTTGAAGGAATCACTTGAGCTTATTTCTGTACTGATATTAATCTTTCGCTTCTTCTTTCCCAATGGTACATATCCAAGAGACTCAAATGCCTTCTTTTTGATTCTTCTCCCTTAAAATAAAGAAATATATTTTAGAAAAATTAATTAAGATTTATCAAACAATGCACTTAAAATAGATGTTTGTGAAACACTTATGCCTAGGACAGAAATAATTAGACTCAGTCTCGTTAAGTTTTGTTTTTTGTTTGCCATCAATTGCTTTCCTTAATATATCATCCAAATAAAAAAACAAGAGATGTTTGTAAAACACTTATGCCCCTCTCCCCCCAAATTGGAATTTTTCCAAGTCCAAAAGGGCATAACTCTGTCAAAAATGGCGTGATCATACCCAAAACAGAACTTGACCAAGATATTTATCTGATAAATCTGTATACCAAATTTCATTTCAGTATGTGCAACCTCTGCAAAGAAAATGAAGGGAAACTGCAAATAATTGGAATTTTTTCTAAGTCCAAGGGGCATAACTCTGTCAAAAATGGTGTGATCATACCCAAAACAAAACTTGACCTAGATATCCATATGATAAATCTGTATGCTTAATTTCATTTCAGTATGTGCAATAGTTGCGAAGAAGATGAACAAAAACTGCAAATGATTGGAATTTTTCTAAGTCCAAGGGGCATAACTCTGTCAAAAATGGTGAGATCATACCCAAAACAGACCTTGACCTAGATTTTCATGTGATTTACCTGTATACCAAATTTCATTTCAGTATGTGCAACAGTTGCAAAGAAAATGAACGGAAACTAAATGGACCGACAGACAGCTGAAAAGCAATATGCCCTCCCTTCTTCGAAGGGGGACATAAAAAGATATATCAATTCTAAGGACACAGCAAGAAACTTCTTTTCATGTAGAAGGTTTTAAAATAAATTCTGCTTCATATGAATACAATTTAGGTATATAAGTAACGGAGAAATGTTTTGATTTTAACGACACGCTTCTGCTGGGCATGCAGAGCAAATGAAGTCTGTGATAATACTCCAGAGGAGGTTTGCAGTTACTTTGAAGAAGAATACATAAATAAATACCTGTTGGAATTATAGCAGAATTTGGAAGACCTGGTTTATTAAGATTTTATAAATATTGTCACTGAATAACTCAAACATCTTCTAAAAATCAAACTCTTGGTATTGTTAGTAGGGTTAGTTACAAATGTAATTTCTCTTTGCATATGGTGTTTCTTGCAAATTTACTTAAAATAAAAAAAATAAATTCCAATAAAATGCATATATAGAAATTAAAATTAAAAAAAATTCTATTCTGCAAATTAAATATAAGTATCATTTAATACTCAATTTCTTTGTATAAATATTTGTATTTACCACTTCTAGAAACTTCACATTCTTTTTCTTCAAAGCTGGTATCTGTAGAAACAAAACAAATCTTTTGTCACAACACCATCACTGAACAGTAGAACATAAAAATTTTCCAGCAATAATTTGAAATTTTTTTCCCTCCAATGCTTGAATTTAAAAAAGAGAAATAAGCCCACGGCATGTTCAAGTCCAAGCTTTTTAAAAAAATAAATTCTTAAATACGAAATATCATGGTTCTGTATGTTCATTGTTACTGTTTAAATGAGACTGTCTATTTACCCATTGTTTCACTCATGTCGTGCTTCTCTTCTGTATCCTCATCATCTAGCTGTTTCTGTTCTTCAGCTTTCTTAGCAACTGAAAGGCAGTAAAGAAGACAATTTTAGTACATGTATTGTACTGCTCAAAGTGACAGGTCATGGAATGTAAGAAATAATTTAAATTCTAACGATTTATCATTTAAGAAATGAATTATTCAATATCTTGTAATGTGAATTGTGATTAAAGATAATTGTTTCATTTCCAGTGAAGGTATCATTTTATTATGTATCTTGCAGAAATAGAAAAGCATTTGTTTATTTTGACTGAGAAAAGTAATTGCCTGTATGCCTTTAAGAAGAAAAGAACAAGCTAAAGAATATCATTTATAAGGGTAATGGGATCTAATACATATAGTTATAATTGCACTAAGACCTTGAAATTCATCACAGTTTTTCCTCAAGATAGATACTGCATTTCATTGTAAATAAGCAAGTTTTTTTTCAGAGAAGAGCAATATTTTTCAAAGATTTAATGTTACGTACTGCAAAAATAAAATGCAAGTGGATATCAAAGGTACGCTGGCTGTCTTAGTAGACACATACATTTTAACAAATACTTTGAAATCCCTAATTTTCGTGGGGTTCAATTTTCGTGGATTCCAAGGTATGAAGAGGCCCATGAATTTATGTCCACCACGAAATGCAATTATTCAGATATATTACTACTGAACAATTCCTCAACCACAAGATCAAATCCCCGTGAACAAATATATTTTTCTCAAACCACGAAAATTTAGCCCCTTGAAAATATGTGATTTTACAGTACTGGCTTGTGGTAACACTTATTAGTCCCTCTTTCTTTAATTACATATGAATCAATCTTCAGAGGCTGATTAAATCTACCAGAATTGTGATTGTTGCTGCTGTTGTTATTACCTTTGAGTGGCCGGCCTCTCTTTCTTTTGGGTTTAACAACAACAGGAGACTTGGGCGCTGTGTTTTTGACATCTGACTGAGAAAGGTTATCATCCAGATTTAAGCCGTCAGGTTCAACTTCACTGTCCACTTTAGGTAATACTGAAGACACACTCTGGTCTACACTGTTTTCCATTGAATCTTCTATTGTACAAAGAATGTATTACTAGAACCATTATTTACTTTTAAGATAAATCATGACAGAGACTGAAATCAACATAATCCTCATTGTCTTCAAAATACCTTTTTAAACAATTCTTCTCTGCTTTATGTATGTAATAAAAGTGCTTTTTATTGGCAATTCTATTTTTAAATGATTTTTTTTATTACTATATCTAATACCAGCTAAAACCAGCATTGGCTAGTTGAAAGATCGGATGCAGATAAAGTAATTACCAAAACAGAACTTGTGAAACCTCATTGCCAAGTCCTGGTCATGTGACAGAAAGTTCTTTCCCTTGTTTGATCCTATTACATGAATGGTAGTCCTGTTTGCAGTAATCAGCATACTTTCCTCTCCGTATTCAAGTAGTTTTACCAGCTAAAAAAAGAGAAAACTCTTGATTTAAAATTTTACAGAAACCACTTTCAATCCAATTTGTTTTGTTTTTTTATTGTCTGTTTGCAGAACCTGACAATACATTGGTCATAAAAAAGTTAAATTTTGCAATGGTTTTCAAACAAATGAAATGATGGGATCAACAAATTTTCAACTTTGCTTTGTGACCACAGTCATTTTAGTTTTCAGCTAAAACTCTTTAAATACTATATTGCATTGTAGTATGAAAATTCTAAACAGTTATTGCATGTCAAAACATCAAATTACAAAAAAAATATACTTTCACCATTACAGAATTGTTGTGATTATGAAAAAAAATAAACAAGGAGGCAGTTTACAAAATGGGAAAAATATAGGATGATTTTTAGACTTTATACAGTGCAAAATGCAAAATGAGTTATTATACTTAAAATGTTAAATCTAGTGAAAGCATGTATTGCCTTGATGCAAATTCCAAAATGATTCATGTCTGAGGAGCCAGGGATAGACATTAACTTTTATATTCACTTGTCCTTCAGGCAAAACTTGGTTGCCCAAAAATTTAAAAGAAAATACCTTAAAGATCTTAATTTGTTACTGAATATATGTAAAAAACTTTCCTGTCATTTACTATCCTATAAACACACACAGCAATGCACTAATAATAATACCTTACATTTTTAAAAAAAAAAATTTAATCCCCCCCCCTCCCCACGCTAAAAGGAAAATAGTAACCATGTTTTGAATCAAGATGCATCGAGAACAACTGGTGTTCTAGAACTGTAAGTGAATAAATAAACTATTCTATTATATCTTTTCGAAAGTATGTATCGTAAGTTCATAATAAGTTGTCAGATGGAGAATATATTTTTGTAAACTACGAAAGAAAACAATAACGTACCCGATTTCTAAATAAAAGTACAAGTATGATCCAGAAGCGCTATTGAGGGATTCTGTATGCAAAAACAATGTCAACTGTTCAATTTATTGTTTTGTTTATAAACTAATGTAACTAATGATTTACTTGTCCCGTGCAATCGGACAACTGTTAATGTCGTTTCCTGGGAGGGTATGAAGAACAAGGAAAACAGAGCAGAAAAAGTGGCCAAGTAAGACAAGGGAGATAACTCTCAATAAACATCTTCACAGTAAATAGTGAGCAACTAATAAAAACAAAATATTAAGAAATTTGTTTAGTTCATTAATAACAAAGAAAGGACTAGTATTAAAACAAGAGGTTCATTACTAACCTGAGCATGCTGACCACAAAAAAGCAGAAATAGTCCAGTTTACAAAAAAGTTCGGTATATTAAAGGTGCGTGGTCCAGGAGTCATTATTTGAACAAGAGGCCCATGGGCCACATCGCTCATCTGAGCACTAAGGGTAGGAAAAAGTAGAAAATGGCTTTCTATTGTAAAGTTTAAATCCAAAAGTAGTCCCATGACCAATCATGGATTTGCTATTTTTAGAAAATGATTTTTAAAGAATTTTCTTATATATATATATCTTTAAAAACTTTGGTCGGCCATTTTGGCCCCGCCCTACCCCTGGGGGTCATGATTTGAACAAATTTGAATCTACACTACTTGAGCATGCTTCCATATAAATATGATGAATTATATTCTTGAGAAGAAGATTTTTAAAGAATTTTCCTATATATTTCTATGTAAAAGTTTGGTCAGCCATTTTGGCCCCGCCCTACCCCTGGGGGTTATGATTTGAACAAACTTGAATCTACACTACCTGAGCATGCTTCCATATAAATATGATGAATTATGGCTTTGTCATTCTTGAGAAGAAGATTTTTAAAGAATTTTCCTATATATTTCTATGTAAAACTTTGGTCGGCCATTTTGGCCCCACCCTACCCCCGGGGTTCATGATTTGAACAAACTTGAATCTACACTACCTGAGCATGCTCCCATATAAATATGATGAATTATGGCTTTGTCATTCTTGAGAGGAAGAGTTTTAAAGATTTTTCCTATATATTTGTATGTAAAAATTTGATCGTCCATTGTGGCCCAACCCCACTCCCGGGCGTCATGACTTGAATATATTTGAATCTACACTACACTACCTGAGGATGTTCCCCCATAAGTTTCATCTTTCCTGGCACAGTGGTTCTTGAGAAGAAGATTTTTAAAATATGCCACCAAATTTTCATTAATTCCCAATTATCTCCCCTTGAATGAGGGCATGGCCCTTCATTTGAACAAACTTGAATCCCCTTCACCCAAGGATACTTTGTGGCAAGTTTGGTTGAAATTGGCACAGTGGTTCTTGAGAAGAAGATTTTTAAAGAATTTTCCTATATATTTCTATGTAAAACTTTGGTCGGCCATTTTGGCCCCGCCCTACCCCCGGGGGTCATGATTTGAACAAATTTGAATCTACACTACCTGAGGATGTTCCCCCATAAGTTTCATCTTTCCTGGCACAGTGGTTCTTGAGAAGAAGATTTTTAAAATATGCCACCAAATTTTCATTAATTCCCAATTATCTCCCCTTGAATGAGGGCATGGCCCTTCATTTGAACAAACTTGAATCCCCTTCACCCAAGGATACTTTGTGGCAAGTTTGGTTGAAATTGGCCCAGCGGTTCTTGAGAAGAAGTCGAAAATGTGAAAAGTTTACAGACAGACAGACGGACAGACAGACAGCTAGACGGACGGACGGACGCCGGACAAAATGTGATCAGAAAATCTCACTTGAGCCTTCGGCTCAGGCGAGCTAAAAAGCTTGAATCTTCACTACCTAAGAATGCTTCTATATCAGTTCTGACTAAATCCTGGCTTTGCTGTATTTGAGAAGAATTTAAATTTCCCCTTCATCTATATGTCTTTGTAAAGATTTGACTGCCAAATCAATTGTTGCCCTGCACTATCCTCAAGTTTATGTTTTGAACAAAATGAATTACACCATGTATTGATCAAAGTTTTCAAATAGGTTTTATCTTTCTGACCCATGGTTATTGAGATGAGAATTTTTAAATGATGCCATTTAATTTTAACTGATTCTGAATTACCTCCCCTTGAAACAGGGTGCATCCCTTTGAACAAACTTAAATCCCTTTTACCCATGCAAGGACACTTTAAATTGTGGCTTTTCCTAAAGCTGGCTAGGTGCTTTTTGAAGTCAAAACAATAAGTTTATATGACAAGCACCACACAATAGACAGTCACTTTCAGTTTTAAAAAAATGATCACTTTGGCTGAGTTGGCTCAGGTGAGAAAAAAAAGATATGGAGCAAGAATGAATGAAAATGCAGTTACTAACTCGCACAAGTTATAGAACCTACAGTATATATATACTTATATTCATCTCACCAATGCATCGAGATCATGCATTACAGAATCTTTTAGGAGTGTTTCCTCCAGTTCACTTTCTTTGACTTCAGCCTGCTCCATATTGTAAATATAGCCACCTACAAAGAGGACAATATTATCACATGCATGTTTGTATGTAAAAGGTGCATGACCATACCTATAACAGTGACAAGACTCATTAAAGATAAATTCAGTAAAGAATATGAGTTATGAACAGGAAAAAATATCATTGACCTGTGGAAATTTCAGAGGTGGGCTCATTCGCCCTAGTCCGAAATATCCGACATTTTCCTGGCTTTCTGACGATTAATTTGATATTTTATTCCTGGCATGAAAAACATCAAAATCGCAAAAAGCCAGGAAAGCATCAGATATTTCAGACTAATATGCCTGAGCGGAGTCAATCTCTACCCAGAGTTGTCGTTCGCTTCGTTACAACACCTCTGTCAATGTCTAAATGCCAAGATTCTTGGCAAAACTTACTTTTACGTATTGCATCATAAATTATAAATGTAAAACTTTTATATTCTTTTAAGATATCGCTTTTTCACCATATCCTATAAGGGATTATTTCTCGGTAGGATGTTACAAACGTGGAAAATTTAAAATGCATTGTCGATAAATATCAACATGATTTAGTTTTTATAGACAAACAACTTGCAGCATTAACACATATATAGAAATGTAAATGTGTTAATCTTCTTGTTGACAATTTTAAACAACATTTTAAAAAAAAATCACGTCCCTCCACTTCCTTACTACTTTTTAGACGTTGACAGAGGTATTAGCGGAACGATAACTCTGGGTAGAGATTGGAGCGGAGTATGCATCTCCAGGTGACTTAGTTATACTCACTAAAGAGCCCTCCATCTCTTATTGAACAAAGTCAAATTGGCTTAACAAGGGTGTATTTAATATGAAATAGTATAATTCAATTGAAATAGTCTATCTAAAGGATCTAGTTTTACCATGTACATTTTTACCCTATCCTCCTAATTTTATACCACCCTTTCCAGGCACACCGTGGATAAAATTGGTTCCCGACATTACCACATGTTTACCTTATGCATACAATGGTGAATACCACGCTATACATGATACCCTGGATTCATAAACGAAACTTTCAAAGAAGAAACCTATTTGCAACAGATATATTACACCGTTCTGATTTCCTTTGATGGAAAAATACTCGTTAGTCAGTGGATATTTTGTCCGCCATGACGCCAACGTACGACTCGACTTTGGACAACAAGAATATATGTAGTTATGCTTACTTAAATAAAAATATTGGAATATATCATAACCAGTAACTCTTCTTATCTTAGATATATCGGTTTTCTTGTTTTAAACTAAAAGAAATGCTGACCTTCCTTCTCTATCTTCTGCAGGAAAGCCCCCTAATTTTACCTATACCGGAAGTGACTTCATCGTTGTTAAGTTGTACGTGAAACGGATTTACCCCCACCCCCCCTTTTCGCCTTAGCTCATTGTAAGAGGAATAGCTAATTTATTTAAGGCATCACTGAATTCATACTATTATTACCACTCTCCTATGATGTCACAGGCTTTTGAAAATGCCGTTTTTAATTTGATTTCTCATCCAGTAGAAATGTTTAGTAAATGATTCTAAAAACCAAATATATTTCCTTTCATTAATCAATTGTTTCTTGGACACTCCGACAGTGTTCTCTTATATTCAGAATTCTTCTTTATTGTTCTCCTAAGCCCCAGCCCCACACCCTCCTCCTCGAAAAAATGTAAAAATACTATAGTAATTGAACTTTAATATTACATGAAATATCGTTTCGGAAATAAAAGACCATACAGGTTGTAAATTTTGAATCTAAACCACGTCAGGAGGATTTCACATTAGTTTCACCTTATCTGGTCCATTGGTTTTAGCTCACCTGAGTAGATTGATTGATTGTTGTTAAACGTCTCTCTCTAGAATTTTTATATAATTTAACTTACTATAAGTATGGAGACGCCACCACTTCCCGGTGGAGAGCAATACTCGGCAATCATGGCCATTGAGCAGCGAGGGATCTTTTTCGTGCCAGCACTGCAAGACCTTGGTTTACATGGTCTTATCACACAGGAGTCGACAATTTCATCAATAAACTAGAAATAAAGTCAAAATCAGTGAAAACCTTACCATGAGCTTCGCTTCGTGAGGCGAAGCTCATGGCTAGGTTTTTACTGATTTTAACTTTATTTCTAGTTTATTGGTGAAACTGCCGACTCCTGTGCTCATCCGAGGGTACCGGTCTCCACGTCTAACATTAGGATTTGAACCCAGGCGCGGATTCAGGATTTGGAGTTAGGGGGGCGCCAAAATTAGGCAAGGGGTCTGGGGGCCGCCTTGAGGCCCCCAGTGGGTCCAGGGCAAAGCCCTGGTGGGGGCCCAGGGGGCGAAGCCCCCGGAAGCTCCTGGATTCTAGAGATTTTGAAGGGTTAAAATGAGGTCTACCAAAGCCCTGGTGGGGGCCCAGGGGGCGAAGCCCCCGGAAGCTCCTGGATTCTAGAGATTTTGAAGGGTTAAAATGAGGTCTACCAAAGCCCTGGTGGGGGCCCAGGGGGCGAAGCCCCCGGAAGCTCCTGGATTCTAGAGATTTTGAAGGGTGAAAATGAGGTCTACCAAGTAGACATATTTGATTTACGCTAACTTTGACAATTTTAGGGGGGGCGCGCGCCGGGTGCGCCCCCCCTTAAATCCGCCACTGGAACCCGCGACGTAAGAATTGACTCCCCAGCAGGCACGTAGCATCGTTTTTGAAAGTGGGGGGGGGGGGCAACCTGAGAAAATTTGTTTTACTTACCTAAAAAAAAGTTGACAAGCAAAAAAAAAAAAAAAAAAAAAAAACCCTATTTCAGAATATAGTAGCAAAGAGTGGATGGGGGCCAACAGCCTCTCAGTCTATGAACATTTTCGATAGTAAACGTTATGTCTGGTAAAAACGGGGTGGGTGGGTGCGCAGCCAGGGCCCACTCTATTGCTACGTGCCGCTCCTGAGCATCCGCTCTAACCCCTGGCAATTCAAATTAATAGATTTTTTCTGAATTTCATGCATCTTCCTATCAAAAAGCAAAAGTAAAACTGATACATTGATCAAATTAACGAAATCGAAATTAACACCTATGGCACGCCAAATTCACAAAAATGAGCTAAACATAGTTCCACAGTTGATAAACTAGGTTTATCGACTGTAAACTATAGTTTACAAACCGTAAACTATAGTTAACAATTCGTTAACTATAGTTTTCATCTGTAAAACAATATTTAACGGTTGTTAACTATAGTTTACGAATAATAATCTAAGTTTATCTGTCTGTAATAAAGCGTTAACAATAGATTTTGTTGATAAACATAGATTCACGTTTGTAAACTATAGTTTACAATCGTAAACTATAGTTAAGAGTTGTTAATCATAGTTTCACAAATCGAAACTATATTTTATCAGATAACAGTTAACTATAGTTAAGAGTTGTAAACTATAGTTTACAAATCGTGAAACTGTCTTTATCAGATAATCTATGTTTTGCAATTGCAAATGTATGGCACGCCAAATTCACAAAAATGAGCAAAACATATTTTTACAGTCGATAAACCAGGTTTATCGGTTGTAAACTATAGTTTACGGACTGTAAACTATAGTTAACAACGTTAATCTATATTTTACATCTGTAGACTATAGTTAATGCGATAATCTATGTTTCACAACCGTAAACTATACTTAACACCGAAAACTATCATTTGCGATTGCAAAACATAGATTATCTGATAAATACAGTTTCACGATTTGTGAAACTATGATTAACAACTCTTAACTATAGTTTACGATTGTAAACTATAGTTTACAAACGTGAATCTATGTTTATCAACAAAATCTATTGTTAACGCTTATTACAGACAGATAAACTTAGATTATCATTCGTAAACTATAGTTAACAACCGTTAAATATAGTTTTACAGATGAAAACTATAGTTAACGAATTGTTAACTATAGTTTACGGTTTGTAAACTATAGTTTACAGTCGATAAACCTAGTTTATCAAATGTGAAACTAGGTTTATCTCATTTTTGTGAATTTGGCGTGCCATACAAATGATTGTTTTCGGTGTTAAGTATAGTTTAGGGTTCTGAAACATAGATTATCGCGTTAACTATGGTTTACAGATGTAAAATATAGATTAACGTTGTTAACTATAGTTTACATTACGTAAACTATAGTTTACAACCGATAAACCTAGTTTATCGACTGTGAAACTATGTTTTGCTCATTTTTGTGAATTTGGCGTGCCATAAACACCACCCCACCCCCCCCCCCCCCCCCCCCCCCCAAAAAAAAAGACACGTTTCTATTTTGCAACACTGATGAAATCAATTTATATATACTCGTAAATGACAAAATCAGATCTCAAGTGAGGATTAGCATGTTTATTTCTCCTTAAATTGTTTTTCTTTTTCGTTTCTTTCTTTATCCCAAACTCATTTGAAAACTCTCAACCAACCTGACTGACTAAAAGTTGAGTTTTATATATGCATTAATTTTAGCGTTCTTGTTGTTCTCTAAATCTCGACGAAATTGAACTCCGCAAATTGTAATAATTTCCAAAGTCCCGTTTTTAGCTCTACTGGTCAGAGACCAGAAGAGCTTTTGCGATAGTAAGGTGTCCGTCGTCCGTCCGTCTGTCTGTAAATAATTTTTCAAAACGCTACTCCTCCTACAGTTTTGGTCTGATTTTAATATAACTAGGCACACAAGTAGACTACACTAAGATACATAAAATAGTGCATCGGTTTTCGATGAAACGGTGTTGCCATGGTTACTAAAAATAGAATTTTCTGTGAAATTCCTTTTAAATGCTACTCCTCCTACAGTTTTGATTTGATTTCAAAATAACTTGGCCCACAAGTAGACTACACTAAGATAAATAAAATAGTGCATCGGTTTTTGATTTCGATGAACAGTGTTGCCATGGTTACTAAAAATAGAATATTCTGTGAAATTCCTTTAAAACGCTACTCCTTCTACAGTTATGGTCTGATTTCAATATTACTTGGCACACACGTAGACTACACTTAGATACACAAAATAGTGCATCGGTTTTTGATTTCGATGAACAGTGTTGCCATGGTTACTAAAAATAGAATTTTTTGTGAAATTCCTTTAAAACGCTACTCCTCTAAAGTTTTGGTCTGATGTCATTATTACTTTGCAAACAAGTAGACTACAATAAGATACATAAAATAGTACATCGTTTTTTGATATGATGAACAGTGTTGCCATTGTTACTAAAAGTAGAAATGTCTTTGAAATTCCCTTTAAAACGCTACTCCTTCTACAGTTTTGGTCTGATGGCAATGGCTTCTTTTCTCATCCTTTGTAATAAGTACAAACCAGTAGAGCTACAGTCTCGACAGAGACTTCTGGTTACATTTTGCAATGATCTCGATGCATTAAACGGAAAAATCTCAACTTTGTTTTTACGTTTTGTGTAATATTCTGCATTGATCTCTACGAAAGCCTATTAGGATCAATCTAGAGAGAAAAAAAATTAAAAAGGCGTTATAACGCCTTTTGAAAAGGCGTAATAACGCGAAAAAAGGCGTTATTACGCCTTTCCATTCCAAAAGGCGTTATAATGCCTTTTTAAAAGGCGTTATAACGCCTTTCTAAATATAAAATACATGGTTACTGTCTTGAAATATAAGCGATATTTGGGCGAGGGTAAGAAAACGTGATAGAGGGCGAGGCTTGCCGAGCCCTCTTACGTTTTCGACCCGAGCCCAAATATCGCTTATATTTCAAGACAGTTATCGTGTATTTTGTTTATCCTGCAACAAAATTTTACATTTGAGCGTCCAAAACAAGCTAATTCCGACAAATCTAAGCACATCTCTGCAGTTGAAACTATGAGGCCATGGCGTAAACATTGCAGTATACGTGACGTCACAATGCTTTTGGAACGTCGAAATACATGCACGAGGCTTTATTAGGGCAGTGACCGGATAAAGCTTTGGTTTATTAGGTTACCTTTATTAGGTCAATGCAATAGGTAGTTGCAGGATAAAAGGCGTTATTACGCCTTTCCATTCTAGAAGGCGTTATTACGCCTTTCCAAAA